ATAAAATCATAGGATATAATAATACTAAACAAAATAAAGTAGTTAAAATAAGAAGCCCGGAAAATATTATTATTAAAATTAAGCATTTTATTTACTGATAAGAAGGGCGGGGTGTTAGATTTTCGATAATCTAACGTGAGAACAATTGGCCCGAGCATAGCCAATAACAATATAAATGATGCTAAAACTAAATATAATGCATAAGAAGAGTACATGATGGCACCTACAGCTTGGATTTGTTCGTAATTCACAAAAATATTATTGTAAATTGTATTAAATCCAACGTTTAGAAAATTTTCTGAAGAATTTATAGAACAAGCCCAAAAATTAATTTTATCAAATAATTTAGTAATTAAATAAATAGAATCATATGTAGATGTTAAAGTATTTGATAATATTAAATAACTAAAGATAGATGAAATAATTACAGCTAATGGGATATTTTGACTGTAATTTGAACCTACTTCGTTTATCTCTACTAATCGTATATTTAGCATCATTATAACAAATAAGAATAGAATAGCAATAGCTCCTATATAGACCATAATATATGCTAATCCTATAAAGTTAATACCTAATAAAATTAAATAACCTGCTAAATTAACAAATACAGCTATTAAAAAAAGCACAGATATTATTGGACTTTTTGCAATAATAACGTTAATAGCTGATAATACAGAAGTGAATGTTAATAAATCTAATAATATTCAGCTTTTCCTTTATTAATAAATACATGAAAATCTCATAGGTTTATAAGTATTAATTTGCCGTCACAACAGTTATTTGTATTTCTCACTCGAGCATTAAAGGTTAAACTTTTTATTAGCCTTTAGTTAATAATAGGAATTGAACTCTTTTTAGAGGACCTCCGGTGGCAGGGACACTGTATAATTAAAATATAAATCTCTAGAATCTACTCGGAATTATTTGAAAACATTAATAGACCCCTCGCTCTCACAGATATAAAATCTGTACCGCTCACTCATCTATATTGAATTATTATTTTTATTTATTCCTAAAACTCACTCTCACAGATCAGAGATCTGTATCGTTCAAACATTAAAAGTTATATTTATTTTATATTTAAATCTATTTAGTATTTCTGTATTCTATAATTCTAAAAATAGATAATGAAAAAGTCATCATCTATAATAAAAAGAAAAAAAATAAGTTTTAAACTAGTCTAGATATTTATAAAGGAGAATACACCAGGGAGACACCCAGGGTGGGTGAAACAGTATATTTAATAGAAATTATTGCATTAGGAAATTATAAAAAAAGTATAGGTACACAGATTTTAATACCTTGTGCCACAGAATTATCTGATTGAACTGTTATATTTTCTACTAAAGTTAAAGCAGCTAAAGCTTTAAAAATTGGAAAAACTACCTTAAATTCATATTTAGAATCTGGTAATATCTTTTTTAAAAGATAAGTTTATTATAAGTTATTATAATTATTAGGTTTATCATTAATAATTTAATAAGGCTAGTCAACTCTTTTCTCAGGTAAGAATGAGAAAGGGGATCATCGGGGTTAAAGTTGACTTTTATATAAGATTCAGTAATCTTCTGTTCTTAATTTTTATGTTATTGATTTCAATAACACCACCCAGCCACATTAGAGAGCCGAAGGTATTCTATTTTTAGTTTTTGATTTAGAAGTTCTTTTACTATTCCCGGCTGCTGTATCTATGTACAATATTGGTCAATTTGGTTTTTGGCCCTACGAAATGGTTATTTTGGTTACCAGAGTAGTTGGGCATTTTTCAGGAGGACTTTCACCATTAGAACCTATATTTCTTATCAGATATTTTATCCGACAAAAGATCCGCTGTTTTAAGAATATTAAAGAATACTTAATAATGAAGAATATAATAAAAATATGTTTAGAATATATAACCTTCCAGGATCATCCCCTTTATTGGAAATAAAATTATCATTAACTGATATCGGACTTTATTTACCAATAGTACTTTTTTTAATCTCATATTTATTCCCCCTGACATTCAAAATTATAGTGGTGGTCTAATTTCAGTATTTAATATTCCATTAAGAATTGACGGAGGATATACTAAAAGACATTAAATTTATCATTTCCAACCTACGGTTGGAATAAGTTTGTTACCTCAAATTGAGAAAGCGGACTAGAATTAATGAAAGCAGAATTGTTTAAAGTTGTCATTTTAATAAATATTATTGTACTTATCATTATAATTAATATAATAATGTGGATTAGTGTAATGGTTAACACATAAGACAAATTAGAATATCATCCCTACCGAGGGGGGGGGTGTTTACAAAAACCGTTTACGTCTTTATAAACATTTGTTAGATTTGAAAATAGTATATTAGCCCCCTACTATTCCTTCTTGAGTGTAGATAATATCCATTGTTTTTTAAACAATTTCCCACTCTTAAGATATTTATATACTAATACATGGGAACAATTAAAGAACTTCCCTGCTTCTCTAGTAGAATTAAAAATATTTACAAGTGAACCATTGGAATCATAAACATAAATAGTTCCTCCTCCTTTAGAAATACTAATTTTAGCGATTGTTTCTGAAGAATGATTTCTACCAAAGAAAGGATGGTTCTCACCTGTTTTACCGAACATATGATGATCTTTACCAGTTTTTTTAGCTAAAGATTTCTCAGTGTGTTTGTAACCTAACGAAGAGCCCGCAACTTTAAGTATATTATAAGTATTTGGTTCATCCTCCGAAAATATAACATCAAGATAAAACTGTTCTCGCCCAAGAATTAAAATTTTAGCATCTTCTTTAGATAAATTAGTAATATCTATATATTCCAAGATTGTAAGAGTAAATACCGAATAACCGTGAACAAGTAAAGCATTGTAAATATACATAGTTTTATTACGCTCTAGATGGCCTTTTTTAAAATAATTATTTATTCGGTTAGAAAAATTTACAGCACTACCTACGTATCTTTTACCAGATTTCTTGTGAGTCCACATATAAATAGCAGTTTTATCTTTATTATCTGATAAAATAGTTGATTTGTTTAAATTTTCATTAGAATAAATCATAATGGGAACAAAGACTGATAATAATATTTCAGATTCGAGGGAATTAAAAATTCCCGCAAATCTCCCGAATGCAGATTCTTCTATTAAAGAAAAATCACCCAAGATTATAGGGATTTTATACAATATCTCGCACCATGTTTGGGTCTGTTCCCACGCGTGTTGGGCAGATCTTTGAGATAAGGGTATTTGAAATAACCGACCATATATTACTGAGTCTAAAATAAACGAATATCGTAATATTGATGAGATTAAAAGGGGTTAGTATTTAATATTGTCATTTTTTTTTTGTCGAGGTAATAAGAATTGAACTGTTAATTAAAATAAATTTCTTTAAGTGTGTTAACAAAAATTAAAAACCTCTTTGCATATTTAAGTGTGTTAACAAAAATTAAAAATCTCTTCTTTATTTTTAAACCGTGATAAAACACTTTTGCCAAAGTATATCTTAATAATAAAAATTCTAAAACTTTAATATATAAGGAGAATAATAGTATAAAAACTTAATTCTTAATATGTAAACTACACAAATTATTTTTTTATAAATATATATGTGGATTAGTGTAATGGCCACACACAAGACTCATGATCTTGTATTGATAGTTCAATTCTGTCATCCACGCTATGATGATATACACCGCCTCTTATCCATGCTCGATACTTTATACAAACAAAAATGACTAACTTATTTTTTAATCCTTGTTCTTTTAATAGAACTAATATTTTTGGTGCTGGTTCTGGTGCTGGTTTTTCTTATTTTAATAGTAAAAAAGAAAGAAATAATCAATATTTTTATTATTCCACTAATAAATTGGGGACAAAAATAGTTAAACCTTGGTTTCATAAAGAGAACTAATTGAATTAAGTAATACTAATGATTTTATTGATATTAAATCGGTTCAAAATTTCCTTCATTCTTTAGATAAAAACCATAATTTTATGCTTCTTATTATTATTTTCCTATTTTAGAATCTAAAAAGAAAGATAAAGATTTAATTCCTATTATTAAATCAAAAGGAACTGGTAAAGATATAAGTTTAGAAAGTTTTTCTAAATTAATTAGATTAGAATCTATTATTTATACTAAAGAGAAATGGTTTAAAGATTCACAAAATTCTACTATTAATGTAAGACAAGTTGATTTAAATGTAAGAGGTGGAACTAATAAACGAAAAATGATTATAAGAAATGGAATATGGATAGATACTGAACCATTATATTATCATGAAATTCCGAAAAATAATAATTTTGTAATTTCATACATTCAAGATTTATTACCTGCTCCTAACTATAAATTACTAACTGCTCCTAATTATAAATTAATTACAGATTCTAAATTCGTTATGATAGGGGGCTTGGCCCCGATAAAACTATAAATACCCTTTATTTCTACATAATTGGGTGTTTATCTTAATAGATTTGTACATTATGAAGATAAACAAAATATAAAAAATTAAAAACGTAATAGATTTTTTGGGTGATTCCTTCCAATATATATTATGTGGGTAAGTAGTATAATAAATTAAATATATAACAGTATAATAGACCTTCGGTCTATCTAAAATAATCCTGTATAGACTAGCTGGTGACTAAATAAATTATAATTAGTATATATCTTTGACTTTCAGTAATTAATACTACAGAACTGGTGTTAGGGCGAATAAAGTAAAAGTATACCGATTAGCTTTTACTAATCTCTGATTGGTGAAAGCGGTTTACTAATGAAACTATACTGTAAAAATATAGTATGTACTCTTGTAAAAAAGATAAGTAAATCGTGTTGACTCCTCCGTAAAATAATCACAACCCACCCGGGCCCCTTATCATAGAAAAAACACCCCAGATTCAATTCAATTGATTAGGTAAATTTAAAAATTAAAGTATGTGTTAAAACCTAGTTAGTTTAATTGTTTTTATTAAATCTTCCAAGATCAATTATTTAACTTGCTGGTGAAAACAGAGATTCGAACCCTGGTATATAGGTCCTAAATCTATCGTTCTGCCAATTGAACTATAATCACCTTATCTATTATATATGGAATTACAGTGAAAAATTATTATTTTCGTAGGGAAAACTACGCATTTACCATTGAAGGATTTGAACTATAGGGATATTTATAAGTGAGTTGAGGTATTATAATTTTTATTTTTCCCAATATTATTGTAAACAGAAAATCTTGGGGCGGATAATAATAAGCTTGGATAGAGCAAGAATATAAGCTTGGATAGAGCAAGAATATAAGCTTGGATTTTTTTTTGTTTTTTTGTTTATGAAGGAAAATAAGTTGAGGTGGTTTAATCCTTATCATATTATAAATTATAAAAACTTGAGTAAATCTAAAAAGAAATTCTCTTATGATAGGAATAGAACTATTTAAACTTTAAACACAAGAAAGACCCTGTCCATAAATTTGGAACTTAATTTTTCATATTAATAAGTAACAAAAAGTGTAAAAGGAATTTAATAAACCCTAAGTCGGATTCTCAGGACTCGAATCCCTTACTATATTATGTTATTTAAATTAAGCTCTTACTAATAATTACATAGGTATGGTAGAATATTATCGCCACCCCGTCCTTAAAGGTATGGTAGTGTTTTATTTATACCCTAGTTTGTATCTTTTATTCATAATTTTAATTTATTTTTCTTTATTATTTATTAAAACAAGAGTAATACTAATTATTTTAAGATTTATCCATTGGTATTTTTATGTTTATTAAAAAAGAGAGACTATTTAATTATTTTAAGATTTATCTATTAGTGGAGTCATCACATTATACTTATATACTAGTATTTTTATTTCTATTCTCTCTTATCTAATAAAAATATAAGAAGAAGAATATAATAATAATAAAATACTTATTTAAATTAAAAGGGGAAACTGTAAAAATAAGAGGAAAGAAGAATGTGAGATAAAGAAATAGAAAATAAATTACTATCCATGGATAAAGTTTTAAACCTCGAGTAAACTAAAAATAAATTAGAAATGTATAGAAATAAAAGAGGGACTATCCCTATAGTTATTTTATCATAGGTGGACTAATACTATTTTTTATACTTTCCACTAAGTAGGATTTCACTACTATATATACCTCTTAGGAGGGGGGGTCGCCCTACCACCCCCTTACCTGGTGATGATGATTAAACTTTTATTCATTTTTTTGAATTGGGTTCACTATTTACAATAGTTTAATTCTAAATGATTAATTTTATAAAAAAGATACTACTGAAATTTAAATCTTAGAATACACCATTTACTGAATCATAAATTAGCTAAATATTGATTAAATTGTAAATTATTTATATCATTTATACTATTTATTAATTATATTTATTTGTTAAGGTATTTATTATATTATTAATCTTAAGCCTATTTTAAACCGGTGATAGCCTCCTGTTATATTCTTAGTGTGTTATATTCTTAGTGTATTATTTATCTTTCTATCTATTAATTTAGATACATAATATTATATAAACCTTTTATTTTAAATGATATTAAAGATCTGTAGAGTCATTTATTGAATTTCACACTATTTATACTTTATTATTTTAAGATTTATCTATTTTTATCTATTATTTATTAGTTATATTAAAACCTATTAAAGTATCTCCTTTCTGTAGTCTCTCATAGATCTTAGATCTATTTCGTTTAAACTTATTCTTAATTTAGATTTGCCCTTTAGGGTATGAGTTATTTATTTATACCCCTTTCTGCACCTTTAAACATAAATTCATTTAAATCGGATTACACTATCAGGGAATAGTTTAAATCCTAGTAATGATTTATTATATTAAAGTATCACTTATTATTTTATTATTTATTAAAACTCACACTATCTTGATATTTATTTAAACTCACACTATCTTGATATCTATTAAACTATTTATTTTTTATTATTAGTATTATACTATTATTAATCGTTCCCACAGATCTAAGATCTGTATCACTCAGTTGTTATTTATTAATATTTTATTAGCGGTGCTCACCATTTCTTACCGTAGTATAATAATAAGTATTAATTTTAATCCACAAGAAGCGCGAAAAAATATGTGAAATTCAAATAATTGGATTGAAGTTTTTACTACCCCCCCCCAGGATTGGGTGCGGCTAATCACCGCTAAAGATTTTACCTTGAAAACCCGTACTGAACAACTGAGGGGCAACCCGGGGTAAAAACTTCTATGTTAGAATGCTCCCCTATATCAGAATGCGCCGGGAACAAAATTAGAGATGAATCTATGCACACCGTCCCTTTTAGAAAGGATGATTAATGCCCAATATTTACTAAAAAATCTTCATGAAGTTACTTTTTAAACTTACAGAACTAGGCTTTAATAAAGCGCTAATTAAACCGTTTAAAGGATTACCGAATGTAGCCGAGTTCTACGCTCAACAATACGGGATACACGAATACGCGGCACTATACGGAATTGAAAAGGTGATGCGAACTATTTCGGCAAAAGAGCTGGACAATAGCAATAAAGCAAACAAGTACCTAGAAAGACAAATGGGAAGGATAATGACATTAGCAATTAACGCAAAACTGAAACAAGCAATCTTCATAGGACACTTAATGGTTACGCGAAGTTCAGTCTTCAGAACTCTGGCCTTAAATAGAGTACTCCCCAACTGGTTTCTGATGAGACCAAGAAAGCTGATACGAATCTGGCGGAAACTGAGCTTTATAAGTAGGACACTCTCGGGTGACCTAGAATATAAAAGAGTATGGATCGACAAAAAACCAGGGGACTACGGAAGACCCTTAGGAGTACCAACTCCAGAGTGGAGAATGTTTTCCTACATGGTGATGGACGTGATAGAAAGGCTTAAAAAAGCAAGGGGGCCAAGAGAATTCGCTTCATGGCAACACAAGGGAAGATCAGGTGTCGGATTATTAACGGCATGGGAGTCACTGATCCCGAAAATCTCGAAGTATAACAATATTTACGAGTTCGACCTGAAAGGTTTCTTCGACAACGTAAGTCATGCGAAGGTAAGAGAAGCCTTTGGAGTTGCAGAGATAGGGGAACCACTTAGCCTATGGGTCGAAAAGATCTTAACCGTGAAACCCAGCAGTTACATACTTCCGGTGTTTAACCGTATCTGATTCCTAAAGTCCACATCTTTCGATTGAATTCCGAGATATTTTTTCAGATCTTTCCCGTCTGGTAGTTTTTATTTCTTCTCACGCGAAGGTGGGCTATTCTTTTTCCAACTCTTTCCGTCCTTTTCTAGGTGGAATGGCTATTTTTTATGCTTTAAGAAATTCTAAAACTGTCTATAATTTTGTACTTAGTATTTTATATTTATTATAATAAGCAAATAAAACTATTAATAAGCTAATAAAACTATTAATAAGCTAATAATTAAAGGAGAATAAGCAATTAGTACTATAGATAAAGAGCAATTTAATAAAATTATACTATTAAAATAACAAGGAGCCTCCATAAAAATCACCCCCTTTAGGGCGGGTCCATTTCTTATATTCCTAGAGTTAAACTATAAATAAGCACTATTATAGAATATTTATTATTACACCCTTCATTTTCACAGTTCAGAGAACAGTACCATTCAGTTGCTTGAACTTTACTATTGTTTATTTTTAGCATTATATTTTTTCTAATTATTTTTAGTATCATATTTTATCCATTTATTATAACGAGCTCTATTATTTATAATTAATATTATTTAGTGGAATGGCCTTTTTATATGCTTTAAGGAGTATTATTCTTAAACTATTTATTTAAAAAAGAGTAATACTTATTATTCATTATCCGGGCTCCTACTCTTCCGGAGCCCTTGGTTTATTAATTTAAAGATAAATACTACTATTATATTTTCTTATACCTATAAACAGGAGCCCATCGGATTCTCAAGATTCGAATCCATTAAATTATAATTTTGTACTTAGAAATATTTTTTGCATCACAGGATCTATAATTTTATTAAAAAGAATCACCCCCATTAAAGTATGATTCCTCTTCTCTTTTTAAATATTAATTATTGAGACCTCTCTTTTACTATAAAAATTAGTTAAAGTATTATATCTCTTTATAAGATGTTGCGGAAAAAAGTTCATTTGCGCCACTACTGTAGACACGTGTAAATTTAAAAGAAAAAGGGGGGGGCTTCCTAAAAATAAATTTGCAGGGGTATTCTGTAGGTTATCTTTTTTTTTGATTATTTTTTTAAAGGATAATTAAGAAGACCTAAAAAGTATAAAATATGGGATATTTTTTAAAAAATTAAAATATGTAGGGATTTTGAGTAAAATAGGGAATATATATCATCTTATAATTCATTTTTATACTTAATATAAATAAACATAATAGAACAATAAGGGCGTGTAGTAAAATTAGGGAAGCGCAAAATATTTTCTAAATAATTTATATTACTATATATTTAGTTAAGGTTATTGATAACCCCTCTATATCCTGTCGGCCCCCCAGGAGTGCGGAGGGGGAGTTTGTTATAAAATAACGAGAATTTAAGTAAAATAAAGTAGAAACAAACACCAATAGTAGTCTAGCATCGTCTAAATATAGGATAGACCCTGTTAATATTAGAACAGATAATATTATGTAAATTGAGTAATTTGGGATATATCCACTATCTATTGAAGCAAGGTTACGGCTAGTACTAGAAAAGATATTGGTTAATCCAGTTGGACCAACCATTTCCAATGCACCTCTATCAACTAGTTTATGAGTAATATATCCTAAATTTAAAATTAATACTACTAAACGAGAATAAACTAAATCAAAGAAATATTTTTGATTTAAGAACGTATATAGAGTTCTACCTAATTTAGATAATTTAATTTCAACAAGGATATTTGGTATGAATTCATAAAATAGTAATGTTCCTAAAAACCCACAAATAGTTAAAATAGATGGCAATAATTTAATGAATAAAGGTATAGCAAATTCAGCATCTACTAAGATGATATTATTAGGATGGATAAATATGGCATTTGCAAAGAAATCAGAACCGAGCCCGATGAATAAATCTTTAGATAA